GTTTTCAAGCTACTGTTCCCACCCAGTTTATCCCTCTTCAAAGCAGCAGTTACCTGGCCATTTAGAGCAATATAATCATGTTTAATTGATTAAACATGATTAAACAATAAACAAGTATAATTTTTCATAAGTCTATTTTATTCTTCAAAAGAATATCAGAATTAGTGTTCTCTATCATTAACATGTTGCCCAGCTCTGAATGTCTAAGAGTCTTAGTAAAGATTGTTGAATCTATGACCAGTTTAACAGCCTACAGCTTAAAGTTGAAATGTAGACTCTTTATATTGGCTATTAAAGAGATATATGTGAGTAGAATCTGAGGTACTAAACTGCCAGCAAAAAACAGATTAAAGAAGTGAAAGGCTAGCTAACAAGATACCAGGAGACACTGCCAATCCTGAAAGCTGGTAAACAAAACACCTGACTTTTAAATTCCTGCTAAATAACTATATATTTAAGTTTTATGGTTGGTTTAACTTTTTTATGTTTAATTGTGGTTTGATGTCAAGGTAAAACAATATTTTAAATACAGTCTTAAGTAAGCAATTACTTTCTAGTTATCCTTCACACCATGCCAAAGAAAACAAAAAAGGCAGAACGCAAGTTTAAGATACAGCTGAAATGCTTTCAGAAGAACTCACAACATCACGCACAAGAGATTTTATTCAGCCTTTTTTTAGTATGTATATGTAACCAGAGGTCCAAGTCCATTGTCTTTCTCTTAGGCACTGGGATTACAGACCCAGTGCTGGAGACTCAGGTTTTGCTTCTGTGGCAAGCACTTTACCAAATAAGCCACCTTCCCAGTCCCTTCAATTCTTAAATTACAAATTTTACCTGGGACTTTGAACTATGATATTCAGGACAGTCTGGGTTATTTTAATTCTTTTTAACTCAATTTTTAAGGCTTTTTATTTATGTTTACATTTCAAGTGGCTGATTGAGAGCAAGAGAAACCAGATTTGTACACAGCACTTTTTTGTTTATGTCTTCTTGAGACAGGGTCTTCCTGTAGCCTCAGTTGTCCTTGAACTTGCTATGTAGACCAGGCTGGCCTTGAACTCAGATATCTGCCTGCTTCTGCCTCCCAAATGATAGGATTAAAGGCGTGCATCACCACACCTGGCTGTATTTTTTTTTTTTAATATGCATGAATGTTTTCACTCCACGTATATAGTATGTAAATGCACCTCAGAGGTCAGAAAAGGGCGTTGGATCCCCTGGAACTGGATTTGGGGACAGTGGTTAGCCTCCGTGTGGATGCTGGGAACTAAACCAGGTCCTCTAGAAGAGCAGCCAGTGCTCTTAACTGCTGAGCCACCTCTGCATTCCCCAGTCCACATTTTCACAAAAGCTCTTAAAGTCAGTTGATTCTGAGTTGGGACAAATATAGTTTCCTTACCTTTTTCATTTCTGTTCCATAAAACCATAATGGAATAAAGGGGATAAGGATGAAAAACATGCTCCTAAACACAAAACTTCAGAAGCAACACTTCAAAGCATCTCATTGATACAGACTCTGACTGCTTAATGTAAGTTCAGAGGGCAGGCTATGGTGGGTACTCACCTCCAGCATACATGACAGCCAACATGATGGAGGATATCCAGGATACCTCACTCGTGGTAGCATGGAATATGCCTTCAATTTCTTTAAAGAAGACAGTGATGGATTTGGGAAACGCATAAGAGAAACCAATAGAAATGAAGGCTCCAACCACCACAGCCCATCCCCAGCCTCCATCTGGGGGAGTATAGCCAACTGGCCCTCCAATTGCAGGTGGCATTTTAAGTGCAGGTGAATTTCAAAATGCAGTGAGTCCAAATATCTGAAAAAAGATAGGAAATTGAAATAGCACGTCAGCAACAAAACATTCCTACAAATCCCCTTTGTGCAATAAATAACATGCAGTTTTGGGCCTTCATATTTGGTTGACACAGAGCTACTAAATTCATCTTAATGTCCTGATTGACAAAGGAAATAGAAATATCTTTTGTTGGTTTTGTTTGAAACAGGGTCTCAGGTAGCCCAGGTAGAAGTAGCCTCTAGTTCAGTATGTAACCAAGAACAGCCTTGAACTTCTGATCCTCCAGTCTCTTCCTAGCAAATGCTGGGATTACAACCATGTGCCACCACATTACATTTATCTGGGATCAAACACAGGGTTTCATACGTGCTAGGCAAGCATTCTTACCAACTAAGATACATTCACAGCCCTTGTTTATATCTGAGATATAGTCTGCTCAAACATGTGCTTGTCTCAGCTTCCTCAGATATGATTACAGGCCACTGAGCAGCTCCCCAGCACCTTCTGTGTTTTGAGACAGGGTCTAGTTACATATGTCAGTCAGATTGGCCTCAATCTTGCAATCCTCCTGCCTTAGCCCCCAGTGCTGGGATTACAGATATGCACCACCATGACTCAGATTATTTTTCTATGCTAGCAAAGAACAATTAGAAGTTGAATTTATTATTTGGGGGGGGCATTCTTTTGAGACAGGGTCTCCCTGTAGCCCCAGGCTGGCCTTCTGAGCACTGGGATCAAAGGCATGACACTGTGCCCAGCTTAGAAATTTTAAGATGCTACTTTAAGCAGTAAACTAAAGATAAATCTGGCAAAAGATATATGAGATGCATAAACTGAAAACCGCAAACTGAAATTTGAAACTAAATATCACCAGAGTGAAAGACTCAATATTTAAATTAAGGAAAAACCTCTGAAGGCACATTTGTCAAACACAAACTGAATGAAACATGATACGATACTAATATGCACCTACTAAAATTAAGATCAGTAATAATTTCAGGGCTGGAGAGATGGCTCAGCGGCTAAAAGCACTGACTGCTCTTGCAGAGGACCCAGGTTCAATTCCCAGCACCCATATGGCGGCTATGAACTGTCCTTAACTCCAGTTCCAGGGGAATCCAAAGCCCTCTTCTGACTTCTGCCCGTTGCACAACATGGGTGCACTCACATACATATATTCATACACATAAAATTTAAAAAGATCAGTAATAATTTCAAGGATTTATGAAGGATGGTGCACACTTTTAATTCTAGCACTCGGGAGGCAGAGACAGGTGGAGCTCTGTGAGTTTAAGACCAGCCTGGTTTACATAGTGAGTTCCAGGCCAGCTGGGGCTAACGGAGACCCTGTCTCAAAAACAACAACAAAAACCCCAAAACAAATGGTGCTCTCTCATTGCTAGTGGCAAAGCAGGTTATAGACCTTTAGCAAACAGTTCCCTTGTGTCAGTGTGTGTGTGTGTGCTGGTGGTGGAAGTCTCATGCATGCTAGGCAAGTGCTCCCTAGCTCTCTTTAAGTTTTCATTTTGAGACAGGATTTAACTAAATTATCCAACCTGGCCTGAACTCACTCTGAAGCTAAGCAGGCTTGGTGGCTTATCTGTAATTCCAGCACTCAGGAGGCAGAGTCACGAGATTCCCCAGGGCAAGTTGGCTAGCTAGACAAGCCAGCATCAATGAGTTCCAGGTTCAGCGAGAGATCTTGCATCAAAAGAATAAAGTGGAAGGTCCAAGAGATGGCTTAGTGGATAAAGGAACTTGCTGCTAAACTTGACACCTCAAGTAGTGGGAGAGAACTGAATCACACATGTTGACATATGTGCCATGGCACATGCATGGCCTCCCTCCCCTAATAAATAAATGTAAAAAAAGAAAAGAAATAAAGTGGAGACTAATAGAGGAAGACAGCAGACCCCAACTTCAGGTCTACACACTTCTAACATCACAAACATATACACATGCAAAAACAAAAGCAAACCTCAGAAATGTGGGCATTATGGTCCACACCTATAATGCCAGGAATCAAAGGGCTGAGGCAGGAGGACCAGCATGTGCCACACAGCAAGAACTTGTCTCAGAAACAACAAACCAAATGAGACACCCACACACTAGGGGAAACAAAAAAAATCCATGACATTACTTAAACAAATTAAAAGGCTAATCAATCTGGACCAGAACTATTAGGAGGCTAATTAGAAGATTGGACACAGGCACAAAGAAATGAGCCTCTGGGCATGGTAATTAATTCCAGCACTCAGGAGGCAGAGGCAGGTGGATCTCTGTGAGATGGAGGGTAGCCTTTGTCTACATACCAAATTCCAGGCCAGATGGCGTTACAGGGAGACTTTTGTTTTACACAAGCAAAGCTGGGCATAGCCACATGATCCTGTAACCTCTGAACTAGGGCGTGGAGACAGGTGGATGCTGGGAGTTCATTGGCTAGCCAGTCTAGCTGAAATGACCCTGTCTCAAAGGAATAAGGCAGGGAGCACAGAGTACATCTGACTTCTTGCACACACATGCATATACGATTATCAATTGTAATAAATAAAATGACAACTAAATTGAAAAGAAATGTTTCAAACTCCAAAGCTATAAATACAGCTTTTAGAGAATTTGGCATTTAGCTGTTGGGACTATGGAAAAGAACAGAACAGAGACCAAGAGACCCTCCCCCTCCCCCCCGCTTCCCTTTTTTTTTTTTGAGACAGGATCTTCCTGTAGCCCCAGCTGACCTGGAACTCACTATGTAGACCAAGCTGGCCTTGAACTCCCAGAGATCCACCTGCCTCTGCCTCCTGAGTGCTGGGATTACAAGGCATGCACCACCACACCGGGCTAAGAGACCACTTAAAAAATATATATTTTTTTAATTTTATGTGTATGAGTGAACCTGGGTCAGTGCTCTTAACCACTGAGCCATCTCTCCAGTCCCAAAGAGACCATTTTTAAAAGCTAATGGTTAAGTGTAGATTTGACTACCTTCTTTTAGGAGCAAAGTCTATTAAAAATCTTTGTCATAAGGCATTTCACTTACCTATAAGTCAGGATAAAAATATTTACAAGCTAAGATTTCTTAAAATTTCTATTAGACTGAATAAAAAACTATACTAAACAGAAGTATTCCAGGTATTAAAATTTTGAGTTTTCCTTCATCTAAGTATAGAGAAAATACTTAAAAATTTCTAATAAAAAAATGAACTCATCTCATAACACCTACACACAAACAGTAGTACTGCTTAACACATCAAGCCCTGACTAGAACAGCCATACGTGCTCAACGTGAGTAAACCTTGCACTTAGCTGCCAGCTATGATTTGTCCCAACTAAAAAGCAGTTCTAATTTTTAGTCACTAAGACTTGTCTCATCAAGTTAATAATACCTTTTTTTAATAGTATCTGACTTAGATTTTTCAACTTCAAGTAACTTTAAGATTCATAATAAAAAATGAGTACCCAAATAATTAAAAAAAAAAAAAACCCAAAACAGTTCTGCTACCACCTGACAAACTGTTATGATTAACATAAAAAATTCTGATCAGACATGGGGAAAAAAAGTCAATCATTAAGCACAGAATCTCTTTTTACACTGGCAACTATCCTTATACAGAAGGCCTCATTCAAAGTAAACTGGGACTGGAGAGATGGCTCAGCAGTTGAGAGCACTGACTGTTCTTTCAGAGGACCCAGATTCAATTTCCAGCACCTACCCAGAGGCTAACAACCATCAGTAACTCCAGTTCCAGGGGATCTGATGCCTTCTTCTGACCTCCACGACACAGGTGCACTTACATACATGCAGGCAATATACACATAAAAAAATAAAAAAATAAATTAGCCTGGAATGATGGCACATGGCTTTAATCGCAGCATCCTTGAGGCATAGGTGGGTGGATCTCTGTGCATTCATTCCAGGCCAGCCTTGTCTACATAGTGGGTTCTAGGTCAGCTAGGGCTACATAGTGAGACTCTGTAAGAAAAAAAAAAAAAAAAAAAAAAAAGGAACAAAATCCCATGGGCTGGTGCCTTTATTCCCAGCACTCAGCACTCAGGGGAGGCAGAAGCAGGAGGGTCTCTGTGAGATTAAAGCCAGCCTGATCTATATAGGGAATTCCAGGATATCTGGGGCTAGAGACCTGGTCTAAAAACAAGGGAATAGGCCCCTAGCCCAGTGTTCAGGGCACGGTTTGGAAGACAGCGCATCTTTGCATGCTAAAACCCAGAGGATTAAAAGCTAGAACTTAAGTTTAAGGTATTAATCCTTACAGTGTGCAGTTAGGCCTGTCACCTTAGCTATTATTGCCTGAAAGTAATGAGGTGATTAAAAACAAGTGATGGGGTGATGAGAAAAAGTGGTTTGTAAGATGACATAGGAGTCAAGTGTGGCAGGGCATGCCTTAAATACAGTACTCAGAAGGCAGAGTGGCAGAAGAGTTGATTTCAGAGGCTAGCTTGGGTGCATAACCTTGAAGCATCACCAAAGGGGGTGGGGGACAGAAACAAACTACAGCTCTCTTTCACTGGAAAAGACAGCTGACACAAGAATCATTTTTTTAAGATTTATTTTATTTGAGATGGGCGTGATGGCCCACACCTTTAATCCCAGCACTCAAGGCCAGCTGTTCTACACACTGGGTTCCAGTCCAGCTGGGTTCCAGGAGACACTAATAAATAATTTTTAATTATGTGTATGTATGTGTGTCTGTGTATGTCTATGAATGTGTGAATGCAGGTACCCAGGAAGGCAAGAAGAGGGTGTAAGATCCCCTGGAGCTAGAGTTACTGGTGGTTGGGAACTGCCTATGGGTGCTGGAACTGGGCCCAGGTCCTTTACAAGAGCAGTAAGAGTACTCTTAACTGATGAGCCACACACAAATACAGTTTGTTTGCTTTTTTTTGAGGTCAAGGTCAGCCTGGTCTACACAGCCAGTTCCAGGTCAGCTGGCTACAGGGAGACCCTGCCTCAAAAAAAGCAAAGTACGTGTGCGTGTGTGTATGTGTGTGTGTGTGTGTGTCTTGGCTGCCTCTGCCTCCCAAGTGCTGGGATTACAACATGTGCCACCAAGCCTGGCTACATATAACTTAAAAAAAAATTATACTAATAAGTTAATCTAGAAAGCCAAAGTTGTATTCCAACCCTGAAATCCCTCCAAGGAAGAGAAGGGCTACAAAAGCCCTTGGAAACAGTATTAATTTCCCTACACTTCTATCAACACATAAAACAAATTCACTCTCATTTCCAAGAAAGGACAATGGTCAGTCTGTGAATTAAGAAGTATAAAGTATCTAAAGCTCAAGATTCATCACTAAGCATAAAGAAGTTTTAGGTTTCAAATTCATAGACATTCAAATCCGTAAGGCTGATTTATTAAAGATGTTTGCTGCTAAAGTAGTTAACCTCCTGCTCTTTTTTTTTTTTTTTTTTTTTTTTTTTTTTTGTCTTTGTGAGACAGGGTCTCTCTGTAGCCCCAGAACTCACTATGTAGACCAGGCTGGCCTTGAACTCATAGGGATCTGCCTGCCTTTGCCTCCTGAGTGCAGGGATTAAAGGCGTCCTGCCAACAGTTTTTAACTGTTCTAATTCAGTTTCATGGGTTTATAGAGCTGAGCTAATCTCCCAGGTTTCAAGGATTAGGAAATCAACTTTTCCAATATTAAACTGACTACAGTGAAACACATACACACACACACACACACACACACACGCACGCACGCACGCACGCACGCACGCGCGCACGCGCGACGCATGACGCGCACGCACGGCATGTACCCCAGACCCGGAGTATATATTTGTCCAGGTTGGTCTTGAACTCGCTCTGTAATCTAGGCAGGACTGAACTTTTTGATTCTACTGTCTAGCTTTCCAAGCAGCTAGGATTACAGATCTATGGACAATATTAATAAAAAAAAAAATTAAGACTACAACCAGCAATTACACTTTCAGCATTTTGTTTATTTTATGTGTAAGAGTTTGCTTGCATGTTAAGTGCACCATGTCATGAGATGCCTGAGGAGACTAGAAGAGGGCATCAGATTCCCTGAAACTGCAGTTACGGATGGTTCACCACCATGTGAATGATGGGAACTGAACCCAGATCACTGCCAAGGGCAGCCAGTGTTCTTAGAGCTGAGCCACCTCTCCAGCAGCCCAACAATCATCTGAAATCTGGATACCAAAGATTTACCTACACGGCACATTCTTTGCAACATTAGTCAAAAACAGGCAAGACATGAGCTGGAAAGCTCAGGGGTAAAGGTACTTTTGAGCAAGTTTGGTGACCTGAGCGTGATTCCTGAAACCCATGAAAAGTAGAAGGAAAACTCTATGAAGCTGTCCTGTGAACCCCATACAAACACCATGGGACACGTGTTGGTGCCCACACACATACACATCAGGCATACATCCATAAAATAAATTCTTTTTTTTTTTTTTTTTTTTTTTTTTTTTTAATACAGAGTCACTATGTAGCCTTGACTGGCCTAGAAAACTTTCTATGTAGACCAGGCTGACCTCAAACTTATCTTTTTGAGACAGGGTCTCCCTGTAGCCCCAGCTTGCCTGAACTCACTATGCAGACCAGGCTGGCCTTGAACTCATAGAGATCTGTCTGCCTCTGCCTCCTGAGTGCTGTGATTAAAGGCATGCACCACCACCCCTGGTTTAATTTTTTAAAAAAGCAAGACATAAAAGCAACCCAAATGTCTATTTATGATACATATTTTCAGTGATTAAGGCTTCATAAATAAGAAAATCCTGCCATCTGTGACAACATGAATGGACCCTGAAGAGCACTTGCTGAGCAAAATAAACCAGATCCAGGAAGGCAAACACTGCAGTTTTATGTGTAAGTTCAAGAGTGATGCTGTTCTATGTTATGAATGATTCTTTTTGTAAAGGATTATTCCTAAATACACTGAACACTAGACAAGCACTCTACCACTGCACCAAATTCCCAGTCTTTAAACGGCCTTTTTAATTGTCGATAATATAAATCTTAAACTATGTTGTCATTAGATCTTTTGGAAATATACAATTTCCTTTAGGCTGAGTGTGGTGGCACACGCCTTTAATTCCAGCACTTGGGAGGCAGAGGCAGGTGGATATCTGAGTTCAAGGCCAGCCTGGTCTACATAGTGAGTTCCAGGACAGCTGGGGCTACAGGGAGATCCTGTCTCAAAAAGACCAAAATAAATAAATAAATTAATTAATTAATTAATTTAATTAAAATTAAAAATATATATATACTATTTCCAAATGAGCACTTGATTTTCCTTAGAGTACTTGATAACCTACTCTCTCTTTCCTGCTAATCCACTGAGTAGATTTCCAGGTGACAGAATGCTAACAGAGTAAGAACTAAATCATAATCACAATAGGCTGAAGTTAGGCAGTGCATTTCTAATCTGCAGAGGCAGGCAGGGATTTCAAACCTGAGGTTCAATGACCTCTTTAGAGGTTCTTCCAATTCAGACTCTGAAGACAGGGTTTGAATGAATTATGTTCATTTGCTGATATCAAGCTCCTAAAATATCAGTCTAACAAAGATACCCGTTTAAATTTATGGCACTTAGCTGGGCGTGGTAGCACAGGCCTTTAGTCCCAGCACTGGGAGGCAGAGGCAGGCAGATCTCTGTGAGTTCAAGGCCAGCCTGGTCTACATAGTGAGTTCCAGGACAGCTGGGGCTACAGGGAGACCCTGTCTCAAAAAGATAAATAAATAAATAAATTTATGGCACTTAAATATATACTTCCTGACTACAAAGTAAAATTATTCTGCCTGAATTGTGAAAATCACTTTCCTTATAAAGCATTTTGTTCCCTCTCTTTCGTGAGGTCAGGATTTATGATAAACAGTATACAGTCAAAGAATTTATTTAACCTGTGACATTCTGATTACATCATTCTGTGACATCATGGTCTACCTACAGTCTTACATTATAGGTTTTGGTTAGCTTCACTCTTACATGGGAAAAGAAGTAAAGGAATTCGTTTATCCTTTTGGGTGCCAGATTCCTTTCTGGCAGTTTGGTAAAACCTGTGAAACTTGTCAGAATAAAGTTTTAAGTTGGGTATGGTGGTGCACAACTGTTGAACTCAGCCCTCAGGAAGATAACCACAGGTTAAAGAGGTCAGCCTGAACTACAAAGTGAGTTCAAGACCAGCCTAGGCTACAAAATGAGCCCCATCCCAAAAAACAAAGCAAAAGAAAAAAATGCATTAACTAGGAGGGCATGGTGACGCTCAGGAGGCAGAGGCAGGTGGATCTCTGTGCATTCCAGGACAGCTGGGGCTAAAAAAAAAACAACAACCCATAAGTAGGGGGCTGGAGAGATGGCTCAGCAGTTAAGAGTACTGACTGCTCTTGTAGAGGACCAGGGTTTGATTTCCAGCACCCACATGGCAGCTACCAACTGTCCAGAACTCCAGTTCCAAAGTATCCGACACCCTCTTCTGACCTCTGTGGGCACTGCACAACACGTACTGCACAACACATGTGCACTTACACACAGGCAGGCAATACACTCATACACATTAGAAAAAAATATATATATATATATCCATGCTGGGCGTGGTGGCACACGCCTGTAGTCCCAGCACTTGGGAGGCAGGGGCAGGCGGATCTGTGGTTCAAGGCCAGTCTGGTCTACATATTGAGTTCCAGGACAGCTGGGGCTACAGGGAGACCCTGTCTCAAAAACACACACAAAAAAGATGGTTCTTGTAGCACCCACATAAAGCAGCTCACAACTGCCTCTAACTCTAACTCCACGGATCTGGGATCTAAGGACTTCGTTCTCCACGGGCTCCCCCACCTATGTGCATATCCCACACATAGAGGCACACATATACCTAATCAAATAAATCTTAAAGGGCAGCAGGGATGGTTCAGTAGTTAGAAGTACTCACTGCTTTGCTGAGAACACAGTACGGGTATTGGTTTCCAGTATTCATGTCAGAAAGCTCACAACTGCCTATAATAACTCCAGGGAATCTAAAGTCCTTTTCTGGCCTCTGAGGACACGCCCCCTCCACACACACACAAATAAAAACAAACTCTAAAACAAACAAAAAACCAAACAAAAAAAAAGAAAAGAAAAAAAGAAAAAGAGAGGCCCTGTTACTCTAAGACAGTTTATAAACAGAACAGTGTCATTATGTTTTCTTTCAAAATTTACTTAGAGTGCGTGTGAGAGTGTGAATGCCTGTGCCCTGGGAGGGCAGAGGATTTGGGCTTTTTCCCTCCTGTCACTTTGTGGAGTCCAGTAATCTCAGGTTGTCAGGGTCTGCCTCTACCAGCTGGAGCAAACTTGCTGACCAAGTTCTCATTTATTCAATAATATACTGTTCTCTAGGCGGTGAGGTTTATAGCTCAGCCCTGCTTCCTGAGCTACCCAGATGAGAGCAAGGAGCCTCCAGTCTCCAGTCTCCTGCTGCTATGCAAAATAAACTCTGCCTCCCTTCAGTTGCTTATCATCAGGTATTTGGTCACAATGAGAAAATTAACCAATACACACCCCCAGCATCACAAAATAAGCACACAAACAAAACACTTCAAGATTTATATAGGAAGAACAGAATCATGGGGAAGACATCATTTTTTTCAATCAATAATCAGTTATGCAGGTTTTGATACATTTTGAGTAAGCGCTCTTCCCTGGAAAGACTAATCAGTCAATGAAATCAAATTTAACAATATTATGGGTTGTTACTAGCAACAGGGTAGTGTGGAAAAATCAACAGAACTAGACCCTGTCATAGCATATTATGTTCGGCAGTATTTTGCAAAGATTCAGCTTTTATAGCAACTCAAGACTGAGGGGAATGTGAACTCATCCTATGACCATGTGTACTGCGATCCCAGAAGACTGACAGCTACATTGATAAGACTGCTGTTTTTTATGCTTAAGAGTTTTAATTTTTTTTGGTCTTTTTGAGACAGGGTCTCCCTGTAGTCCCAGCTGGCCTTGAACTCACAAAGATCTGCCTGCCTCTGCCTCCCAATCTGCTGGGATTAAAGGTGTGCACCACCATGCCTGGCCTTGAGTTTTAATTTTTAAAAAAATATTTATTTTAATTTTATGTATGTGTACTGCCTCCATGTAGGTAAGTGCACCCATGTCATGCAATGCCAGCGGAGGACAGAAGAGGCTGTCAGATCCCCTGGAACTGGAGTTATGGACAGTTGTTAGCTGCCATGTGGGTGTGGGATTTGAACCCAGGTCTTCTGCAAGAACAGTCAGTGTTCTTAACCGCTGAACCATCTCTCCAGCCCCAGTTTTAATTTTTAATTATGTGTATGCATGTATCTTAGGGGGAGAATATGGCAAGAGAATACAGCAACTTCTGTAAAACAGAAGAGGGTGTCAGATCCCCTGGAGTTGAGTTACAAGCAGTTCTTTTGACATGGGTGCTGGGAAAGGAACTCTGATCCTTTTCCAGAGCAGCAAGCACTCTAACCTTTGCTTTTTTTTAAAATATTTTAAGTCAGGTGTGGTGGCACATGCCTTTAATTTCCAGCATTCGGGAGGCAGAGGCAGGTGGATCTCTGTGAGTTTGAGGCCAGCCTGGTCTACATAGCTAGTTCCAGGCCAGCTGAGGCTACAGGGAGACGCTGTCTCAAAAAGACCAAAAAGTAAAAATTTTATTTATTTTATGTGTATGTGTGTATTGCCTGCATGTAGGTTAAGTGCACCAGTGTTGTGCAATGCCCACAGGATCCCCTGGAACTGGAGTTATGGACAGTTGTTAGCTGCCATGTGGGTGCTGGATTTGAACCTGGGTCTTCTGCACGAACAG